CTTTTTTTTCATATTCTGTAAGGACAAACGATCAGAGGCCAAATCCATGATATATCGGTATTGACTGATAAAGTCATGGGCCATGTCGTTTCAAGAACGAATGTGGGTTCTATCTAGCTAAATATAACACCTAACAGCGGAGCCACTAAGACTATTTTGGAAAGCATGCATTAGTAGCTTTTCATTATAAGCATGGGCTGTCATCTTTTGATAATACATAGCAATGTGAGTCTTTGGGCATTTTATACTATCATATTTCTTAAAATTTTGATACTTTAAATTTTAGAAAAATGACTACATCTGGGATCAAACAGAGCCCAACAGCATCAATAGAACCATAAAAACTAATTTTTTTCATAACCCGTAGCCTTTGTTCTAGCATACTAATTTTAGAGTCTTTCTGAGCTTCAACTTTTATCTTTTTTTTCTCTTTTTCTTTCAATTCATCCAGATCAAGAACTTGATTTGGTTCTACTGTCTTTTCAGTAAAGACAAGATTCACATAACTATAGTAATACCCTGGATTAAAGACTGATGGCATTCCAAGATATGTAAGATATGTGAATTATGTGATAGAATCTCTTGTGTAGACTAGGCTTAAGGTGGACCAAAACTAGGTGGATATAGGAGATTAGTCACTTCTTGTGATGTAGGGCCCTATTGGCTTGTGTTCTCTTCTAGCTCTTTCCCTTTATTTAACTTGTTTAGAGCATCCAGAATCTTACTTAACTCATTTTCAAGCTTTTTTTGGGCCTTCTCTAATTTTTCAAATCGATGAGAGTTTTTTTACTCCATTTGTCTAGCTTTGACTTTTGTGTTGTATCGATGAATGGGGTTTCTGTTGGATGAAGCTATCTTTAAACTTTGAGTACCATAATTATATGATTATTAAAAACTATGTATTTTATATATGATATGCAAATGTATGCATAAAATATACTAATATTTACCACGTCATCAATATTGATAAAAAAAATCTCCATATGAAACTTTATTAAATAAAATTTTAAAATTATATCTTAATAAAGTCAAAGCAATATTTTAAAGTCTTAAACATCATCTTTTATTTCTAATGCCTCCTTGTAAATATCCTAGCTTGCTAGTAATGATTTTGTGCCTCATCTAGAAAATCAAGCAGTTGATGTCCATGGACTCCCACTAGTTGCACCACAACCTTCAAATTTTTTATTTTTTTTTTCATTTTTGATGCTTTGTCTGCAGCAATGCATATCTGATTGAACAAATGCCTTAGATGCCTTTATTTTTCTGCGCACATGTTTTTTCATAGCTCACTCTATTGAGTTTGTCTCTTGTATTCATCAGACAAGGCTTCTACTTGTGTTGTGTGTCTATCCACTATCTCTTGTAGCATCTGGTTATGCCTGTGTGCCCTAGCAGTGGTCTTTTGTTCTTTCTCCACCCTCACTTTTAACAATTCATTTTTTTTAAAAGTAGAGCAAACTCGGTGTGACCAATGAATGTGCATTATCTAGATCATTAAATAAGGCTCTCTACTGATGAATGTGAGACTTTGGATTTTTAGTTCTTGAAGCTTCAAACATTCTTCCATTTCTAACTTCAATCGTTTATTTTCTTGTTCCAACTAATCTTTCTCGGATTGGAGTTTTCTCTTAGTTGTTTCCACTTTAAGTAAAGGATCTTGAAGAATGGGTTTTGGGGAATGCCATAATTGTTCACTAGGAAACATAATGTCTTTTTCCCTCATCGCATGCCACACACTATATTCTGGGGTGATGTCATAAGTAAACCTTTCTTGGTTAACCCTGGTGGTTTGCTTCTATACTTTCTTGATCTTTTCAACCATTTCAAATGCCTATTTATCAGTGAATGAGAACTCCTATTGGTTAAGTCCATAGGTTTCTGGAATGAATTGTTCATGCTCGAATTATCTTCTCACCAAAGTTAGGGCATAAGTAACAGCATCCCATAGGCCTAATAAAAACACCCACGACTGATCTCCATAACTGTATAACACCATAACACCGTATCATGACGCATCCAAGGTGCTCTCCAACTATCCCTTGACTATCAAGGCCTCGAAAATAAGAAACCTATTCCTTTTTTTACTTTGTTTAAGGCTATGTGTTGTAACAGAATTCCTTGATAAGGATACTAGAACAAAGGTATGGTTTATAAAATTAATTTTCTTTACATTCCATGTGACTCTTCATTCATACATAAAGCAACTGTAAGCACCCATTAAATCGCCCTTTACCATTTCTGCGATAAAAGTTTAGAGAACGAATGGTTTTTACCAAAATAGTTAGTGCTGCATTGACCTGATATGCTAACTAATTAATGAAGTCTATTACTGTGACATCAATATACCCAATGACTTTTGGAAAGATCACCAGTCCATATAAAGCTATAACCATAGCTATTAATCCCTAATCATCATCCATATGCCCCTAGATAAAGTCTTGTAAAAAAACTCCATGGAATAGCCTTACTTTCACCTTTTATCTTGACACATGAATCGATTTGAGGTAAACTAAATCCAAGCATTTGCACTTGCTTTTTACGATAGCCCACTTTATTGGATCAGTAAATCTTATTTGAGTTTGCAGATCGAAGTGAAGTAGGACCATATACTTTTTAATTGTAAGTACCATGTTTACTTCATTGAAAATGAAATATCTATAAGAAAGATCATAAAACTGAATGATGGCCCTAATCAACTTATTGTCCATTTCCATCTGAAGTAGTGAGCTATGTCTCCATATTTATTCTCAAATGCCTCATGTCTTATTCTACTCGTGCATCCCCAAACGCTGCTTAAGTCAGATAGATCATTTTGTTATAGCTTGAGATGAACTTTTTTGGGTAATGATGAAATAAAATCCTTAGGCAAGCAATCTCCTTATTTTTTTTGACCCTCTTCTGACTTAATTTTCAATTGATGAGAAAACTCATAGTGGACTGATGTAGACTTTGGTTGCATTTGGCTTTTCATAGATGTAAGTGTGAGATCCGATTTATCAATAAATGATATGTGGCAAATATTTCCTATATGAGAATGATGCAAATGATAATGTTAAACATGATCATGAAAATGATGCATAAAATGATCTAATAATGCTAGAACATAAAGTGAGATGCATAGAATGATATGACATGGAGATGGTGTAGATGTACAAAATCAAGCAAAATGGTTAGATAACATATTGTTCCTTTTTGTGTCGTAATTTTTGGTTACATCTATTGATGGATAGGAAATGCTCTATCTTAAGTTGGTCTCTTAAGGGTGAAGTACATGCAAGGTTAGGAGATTTTGATCGCTAAAAGGTTCCCAAATTATTCCCTTACATCATTGTCTATCACAGACTAGAAAGGCAGTCCAATCCTCACCCATCACAGGCTACCAACAGAAATGATTCAATTTGAGTGGGAGTATTTTGCTAGCCATTGCGAAGATTATCATATCACAAGAGCATAAGTACTTTACTCCCTCCTAAGAGGGATAGAGCCCAAGTATAGAGATCATGTAATGCAAATGCATATGATAGTGTGCGCGAAGGAATATATGGTTATCGTCCCCATAAATTAGACAAAAACAAAAGAAAAAACGTTGGTAAACAAATAGCTTAAAACCATTAGTTCAAAGGATAAGATAAATTCAAAAATTATGGCTTGACTCTCTTGATTTCCCCAATAGAGTCACCAAACTGTCATAACATATAGATCCGTAAATCTATAGCTAAACTTATCAAATGAATGGAGTCACCACAAATCTTTTTTAACTATGTGTTATTGATCACCTAAGGAATCTATCATTTTAAGGAACTCTTAAACTTGACTAAGGGTCCCTAAAAGAATAAGTTCGGATCTACTAACCAGAATAGGGTTCGAGAATCGGTTACATATGAAAAAGGTTATAGCACCCCCACATACCCATCCGTAGGATGGTACCATATTATTTCGAATTTATCCAAAAGTATTGAGTCTAACGGTTTCAAATTTTAAGTTGAAATATTGGAAATAATTTATAAGACTCTTCTATCAATCTGGTAGAATTTTTAAAAAATATTTTCTTACCTCAAGAATATTCAAGGATCTAATTTGATTTCTTAAAGAGGCTCCATCATCGAAAAAAGGTTTAATTATTATTTATTTTTTGTTAAAAAATATATATAATTATTCCACCATTTGTGTCAAATTAAAAATATTTTCTCCTTTTGTGAATTTCTAAAATTTTTCACCATTTTGGCCTATTTAGAATTTTTTTTTATTTTTCTTTCAAAAGAAAATAATATGAAAATTACTTTTATGAAAATTTTTCATTTAAATTATTCCACTATTTGGGTCAGATTTAGAGAAAATTTCTCACCTAAGAATTTTTTAGAAATTTACCATTTGAAATTTTTAAGAATCTCATCCTTAGATAATTATCACATATTTCCAATCAAAATTTTATTTAGAAAAGAATACAATTATTTATATTGAAATTTCATCTAAATTATTTCACCATTTGAGTCAAATTTAGAGAAAATTTCTCACTAGAGAATTCTTAGAAAATTTATCATTTGAAATTTATAAAAATTTCATCCTTGGATAATTTGTATTTAATTCCAAAATTTTATATTTTTTAATTTTTTTGGATTGAAAATAATATTAATTATTGTTATTGAAATTTTGTTTAAATTATTCTACCATTTGAACCAAATTTAGACAGATTTCTTACCTACGAATTTTATAAAATTTTGTCATTTGAAATTTTTATAAATTCCATTATTGGATACATAATATTTAATCCCAAAAATTTTTATTTTTATATTTTTTCTAAACTTAATCATGAAAAATACCCCTAAAAGTAAACAAATAAAAAACCAAAAAAAATGAAAGACTTAGCTCCATGAAAAAAATAGCTCGGGGGTTGGCTGTTTAATTCCGCAGCTGTTTCTTCCCATCCTGCGGAACCATCTTTATAGGTATTTCCAGTGAGTCGAATGGCAGGGGCTTGAACCGTTCCGTCCGAAAAACTAAGAATTGAGGTTAGGGACCTGGTTGGTGAAGGTAAACATGCCAGCAGCTACACTTTGCCATGCTTTGAGTACCTCAAGGTACCTTGGTCTAATCTGCTGACTTGAAGTAGAGGTAATCTGGTTTTTAGGTCTGATAGCATTTGGATTTGGCTCAACCTGTTTTGACTCGTAGACCAACCTGACTTCAGCCTCAATCCGAGCACTCTCCCATTGAGCCATGTGGCTTAAATTTGAAGCATTCTTGCCTAGACCAGATGGGAATCTTGAAGCATCTGTCTGACGCTTGTGAGTCATAGGATCAATACCTATTTTGATTAACTTTTTTCTTGAGATGTGTGTTCCAATGATTCTTGATCTCATTGTCTGTTCTCTTTGGCAAGTGAGCTGCCATTATCGACCAACACATCGTTGAAGTCCAGCTTTTTCAGGCAAGGCACGCCAGCTACCATGACCATGTTGTTGGATGCAAGCCATCAGTATTTTATCGTCATCAGCTATCTACAGTCTCCTCTTCAATACCTCTTTCTTGCAATCCGAAAATCGCCCCATTTTGCAAAAAAACTAACCGGCTAATTTGGCCAAAGATGGACTAAAATGAAGACAAGCGCGCGGGTCCCTTTTGAAAGTCTTCAAACCAATTCAAGCAAAAACCCTCTTTTTTATTATTTTCAGCGCCTTCTTTTCCCTCTATCTCTTAGCATTGCGGTATGCTTTTCTCTATATCTCTCCCTCAAATCTGTTTTTTTTTTTTTTTTGCCAGCAGCTTCACGTTCTTGCGCCTGCCGTCAATTTTTATTTTTCTCTTTAAAATTTATTTTTTATGTGTTTGTGTGATGTGTGTAGACATGTATTTATAGGGTTCTAAATCTGAGAACTCCAATTCAGAAAAGAATCTTAATTTCTTTTGAATTCTAAACTTAAACCCAACTCTAACTTTACAAACTAATTCCAATAATCTCACACAAACTTAATCATCTATTTTTTTATTTTTTTTCATTATTTTTTATTCACAAAAAATCACAAGTAGACCCCGGACAAATTGGGTGTCTACAAGGAGGATTTAATTTTTCTTCTAAAAATATGATCACTTTTGAAAATGAATAAGCTAAATAATTGTTAGCTAGGTTTCTATTAAAAACCAAAATATTACCTGGTTCATACGAAAATGAAAACCAAAATATAGAATGATTTCGGTGAAACTACCTAGGAAGAAAAAGTGGTGTTAGTGACAAAATGCCGATGATGGCACAGTTGACAATGATGACGATGAGAAGAAAAAGTTAGGGTTTGATTTGTAGATTAGGAGAAATGATTTAGATTTGATTCAAAAAAGAGTGATTGGAGAGAGATTTTGATTTTTGATTTGAGAAGAAACAAATTTAGAGAGCAAAAGGGACCTTGGTCTCCTTTCCTTGCGAGAAAATCTTGTGATGGGTAAAGTGAGGGTGGGTCAGATTAAAAATGGAAAAACAAAAGGCGTTAAAGTATGGGTCAGAATGTGGTTGTGCCGTTAGAACCTTTGTTCTAAATGATGACTTTCTTAAGCCAAGAAAAACCAATTAAAAAATAAAAATTATAATCGTTAAAGATGCTATTTTTTTTAACGATACTAACTAAATTTTTTAAAAATTTAAAAAATATTAAAAAATAAAAATAAATAAAAAATCGATAAGTGAAGGTCATACAGATTTAAATTATATATTAGTACTTATAAATTATTCGAGTTTGATTCGAATAAAACTCAAATTCAATTCAATTATTATACAGTCAAACTCAAGTTCAAGTATCTCGACTTATCAATCAAGCCAAGTTTGAATAGTTCATGAACCTAATCGAACTTTTATATTTTAATATATTTTAATATTTTAATTAATAAAATATATCAAATTCGAGTACAAATTCGAGTACAAATAATCGAGTTTTTGTCAAATATAAGAATCAAACTTATTTTTACATGTTAATCGAGCCTAATTGAGCAAGCTCGAGTAGTTTGATTTAATCTCTAGTTAAGCTCAAGTTAAAAAAATAAAATTTGATCGAGTTCGAGCAAAGTTTTGAACATCGAATTTCAAATCAAATTCAAACTTGAGCTTAATAATGTATCAACTTAAACTCGATTGATTACACCCTTATTCATGCACTCAACCTGACCTTTTATTTATATAGGTTTGTTGCGTGGGGTCTTTACAGTAACTTATAAGCAATAAATAAAAGTTAAACAAACAAGTATATGAGATTTGACCTAGATGATTAATCTTAAATTTAAATTATTTATGAAAAAAATTTACAACATTATCACGTTGCGTTAGAGGTGACATTTTCATATAAGATTGGGCACTAATCTTAAGTCTCAACTTATATCTATTTTCTATTAGGTGGGCTTTGGCCCTTCTTTTATACCAAAAGATTAAAAAAATATATTTGTAGTTTATATGATTTTTTTTATAGAAAATACATTGGTATATTTATTTATACTTTTAAAGATTTATTAATAACAGTTAAAACTTATATTTATATGGATTTTTCTTTTTATTATTTTTTAAAAGCTTTAGGTCAATGTGAAATTATAAATCAAAAATGTAAGCTAGGTGACCTTATCTATCAGGACATAATTCAAGCACAAAGAAAATTTGAAAAAAAAATGAAAAGAATAAAAAAAGAAAAAAATCGTAAACAAGGCAAAAATTCCTCTAAAAGCTAAAAAGTAGGTTTGAGAAAATAAAGAATTCAAAGAAAAATGGAAGAATCATCATCAATTACAATAGATCAGAGAGACAAATTGACAGAACAAGAAGTTATCATCTGGGAATCAGGCATAGATCAAACTTCCATGTGTCCAAAGATTGAATCAAAAGCTTGTAAACTTGACAGTAGTGAATTGAAGTCACCTTTGAACAAAAATGACATCTTGAAAGTAATGGAGGTAGTTGAGAAAGACTTTCTGGCTATCGCCAAAAATTTCTCGTCCTTCTTTGCTTCGTTTCATTTAGCTCTTTCTTAGGTCTAATTTTGCCTTTATTTAGTTATTTAATTATTTATTTTTTAAAAATTTATGGCACTTTTTGTAAAGTTCTCTAGAAAATTGTTGTCAGTTTATGAGAATTCATGCAATTTACATAAAGTTTTGCTTTGTTGTTGTTAAATTTCTAGAAAATTTAGGCTATTAAGATTTTGAGCAATCATAGTGGTATTTCTTTTCTTTTCTTTTTATTTTAGGTTTTTAAATTTAAAAAATATGCATTACAGTCTATAAAGAAACTGATTACTTTGTTGAGTATTAGCAAATAATAGCAATGAATTATAGCATTATTGATGTTAATTTTCTTAATTTTTTTAATGTGAAGTCAACGATTCATTACATGTGGTGAAAATGTGTATTTTGATATGTGCATGATGTGCAAATTACTTCAATTTTAGGTTATTAGCAGCTTAGTTGATCATATATGTTGCTTTGCTGAAGTAGGTAGGCGTTTTTAAGAATCTGGTAAATGAAATATTAAACATAATGCTTCTTTCATTCAATTATCAATAAGATAAAGAGCAAATTTGTTCTTTAGTATTATTCCTATTATTAACTTAGTCATTGTTGTAAAATATGATAGACATTCATGTTTTTTGTCTTAAACCCAAACAATTATGGGTACTTTTTCTATTTTCTATATCATTAACATAGCACCAGAGTTGTAACAATTAGTTAACCCTGGAGCTTATTGTTTTCCTACCCTAAATTAAGCTTACTAGTTTTCATTGGAGGTAGTTTTCCAATTTGTGCTAATTACTTGGATAATATGCATTTGTGCTAAAATATAGTTAAAGTGTAGTCATGACTTTTTTCTCTGTCACTTAATATTCATTTTACTATTAATTAAAACATATTGATCGTTTGTAACATGATGGAGCTATTGCTGTTGCTTAATTTTCTTCCAAAAATATAACATTTTGTTATTGATTATTTGATTTTGATATAAATTGTGAACTTATTTTTGTTATTTGGATTTGTAGCATTTGTTATGACAATATAAGGAAATTGGTATATAAATTCATGTCTCAGGTAATATTCTTGACCCTCTTTTTCATGGAAGCATTAAATAAGAGATTAAAAGAAAGGTTTGTTAGGTGTTGTCTTTATTATAACTTTATTGACAGATGAAATGGTAGATGCTGAAAAGGTAAGTGGGAACACGGCCTGTGTTTATATGATATATGCCATAAAATTTTTACCAAATTTATATTCTTTCGGTACAGGCAGTTTGAATCCCTTAAATGTGATTATGTCCTTTTAGCAAAGTGTACTGAAAAAATTACAGTTCTCTGCATTTCAATGGTTGATTCATTGTGGTTGACCATTCTTGATGCTTTGTCCCTTATTGTAGCAAGGTTGGGTGATTTTCATTCAGTGAATCCACCTTTTACTCTCTATTTCAAGCAAAACTAAGTTTTTATTTGTTCTAATTCAAATTTAATTTAAAGGTCTTAAGGAAAGGCTATTATGTTGGAAATTTTGAACGGTATGAAGCATTTACTCAAGTAACCCATTTTTTTCACATAATGAATCATTAAATTGTGGTTTTTAATTTTGACTGTTAGCCTTAATATCCATAGGTTGGTTAATTTGTATTTTTATTTCTTACAAAAATAACTTGTAGTAGTTTTTATTCATGGTCACAGCCTATTTCTTTTTATAGTTTACAGTAGTAGCTGAATTTGGTAATTGACACTTTATTTTAGACCCAATGATAAAAAATGATAGGTTTTTATGGTTGTTTTTTGTTGATTTCGCCTGCATGTTGAGTTCTTCATGCTATAGAACCTTTAAATTCTTTCCTAGCATCCCTTTGCAAATTTACTATTACATGAAAATTAACTTTGCTAGAAGATAAGATTATGCATTGATTCCTTGTTAAAGAAAAGCAACATGCAACATGCCTTGTGAATTATCCATTAATCAATTATGATGAAACTGTCAAATACTATATTGATTATGTTAAGCTTTTAATGAATCTAAGATTGTGATGTTAATTTCTAAAGATCACTATTATGATTGTATGATTTTTATGCTTTTACATTTGTGCACAAATGGTTGACTTTTGGGTTGCTCTGCAAAATAAGCATGGTACTAAACTATTGGTGCTTCTAATCTAATATACCTTGTTTGGTATTTTATATATTTTAGGCAATCTTTTATCATGCTTAATTTGTTGTATATATCTTTGTAGTTTATCCTTTTAAAAGTTTTAGTAGCTGTCTAACAATGCTTAAAATTGATATTTCAACAAAGTATTACAGTCTCTTGGATTAAGATATTCTAACTTAATTTTTGATTAGATACTATTGTCCTTATACTAAAGAATGTACAGGTATTATTAATAATTTTATGAGTATGGTATATTCTGTTAATAATTTTCCCGTATTTCAGATTATATTATTTTAATTAAAAGCCACCTTGGGTTTTAATACATTGATATGGTTTTTATACCTTTATGAAATCATGGGGATTTCAAAATTATGATTGTTTATGACAAATAAATGTAGGTGTTGGAAATTGTCTG